TTTTTGACACCAAGGCCCACAAGAAGACACAAAGAGCACAGAATGGACACACGCAAGGCAAACCCATTTGAACAGAATCACGCTTTTGGGCAGACAACGCACTGGATCAGGGCTAACCTACTTGAGAAGATGCGAAAACAAGGCAAGCCAATTTAAAAGGCATGGAAAGCACATGGGAAAACCAGCCAGGAAACCCAAAAATACGAAGCCAACAACACGAAAATCACATTGGGGCCTATAGCCAGTTTTTGTCGCAACAAGGCTCACAAAGACAAAGAACCAAGGGTAACCCATTTAAAATAGATGAAAAAGCACCTAAGGCACAAAGGGCACAGAAGAGACGGAAACAAAGCAAATCAGCTTAAGATGAGAACTTTTTGACACCAAGGTCCACAAGAAGACACAAAGAGCACAGAATGGACACAAGCAAGGCAAACCCTTTTGAAAGGCACCTGGGAAGATTGACACGGCAACCCCAAAAGTATGAAACTACGCTTTTGGGCAGACAACGCACTGGATCAAGGCTAATCTACTTGAGAAGAGGCGAAAACAAGGCAAGCCAACTTAAGAGACATGGAAAGCACAGAGGAAAGCCAACCAGGAAAACCAAAAATACGAAGCCAACAACACGAAAATCACATTGGGGCCTAGAGCAGCCAGTTTTTGTCGCAACAAGGCTCACAAAGACAAAGAACCAACAGTCTAAAATCACATTGAGGCTTAAAACCAGTTCTTTAGCAACAAGGCTCGCAAAGACAAAGAACCAAGAGTAACCCAAAAAGGATGGAAAACACCTGGCGCACAAAGAGCACAGAAGAGAGGTAAACAAAGCAAACCATTAGTGAACTTGGCCATTTAGAAGAACCGCGCCTGCTCGCTTCTCGCTTTCCGTTGCTTGCCGGACTGGTTTGCAGGTGAAATGACCTTCAAATCTGAAGAAATTGAAATAACAACTGTTGGGTGTGATTGTTTGAAGACCTTTTCCATAAACATCTGCTTTGACGCTGGCCAACATGAAAATTCCATACACTTTCTATACATATGTGCAGAGCCATGTTCAGTTTGCGATACTGGTAGACTGACAGATTCTTTTTGGTCATTGGGTCACTGAATCCCGACATTGCAGGGACCCCCACACATGCCAGCTTTTTGTGAGATTCCAAAGGCCTCACAATAGACTGCAATCTGAGGTTGGCGCTTTTCATATTTGGCTGTGTTGCCTTGGAGTTTATCACCAAGGCTTGGTAGAAGTGTTGGGCAACAGGTACAATTTTGTGAGCTTGCGTCTCTGGATATCACGCTCACGTAGAGATAGAGAAGAAGAAACCGCAGAATGAAGATGAAGAAGATGAAGAAGAGGAGGAAGAAAAAGAAGAAGTGGAAGTGGGAAGGGGGGCAGTTCTTCATATCTCAAGCACTTCATGGCAACACTTGGGCAAGGTCTTTCGCTTAGACAAGCCACGTCTCGGCGTTGTGTTTACTCTTTAGCAGAAGCTTTTCCGTACCAGCGGGTACAAGAAAGCTGAAGCTTGGGTCGCTTTTTTTCCTCCTGGTTTCGGGCAGGACCTTGCTTTGAAAGAACACCCGGAGACAGGGCCGATCGTGCAAGACTATTTTGACACTTTGCCCATGGCGATCCTCACCTTGACGCAGAATCTCGCCAAGAGAGGGTGCGGAACGACTGGGTTCTTCTAGCAGCAAGTATTTTCCTCTTTGTCACTGCTACCGCAATATGTTGCCCTGCATTGCTTAGCCTTGTGGCGTCCATCAGAGTCAGGAGCCTTCTAGAATATCTAGAATCGCAACATATGTGCTGGGAGAAGAACAGCAGGGAGCTTTTTTGATTTGCAGCGATGACCGCTGATTGAATGATCTTAAATGACCATTTGATGTTTTTTGGGGTTTGGAACTTCCATTCAATACTCCCCCGGAAGCACTTGAGGGAAGGGGAATAGCTTTTTGGAAGCTCGCAGCGGCCTTTTTTAGGGGAGTCGGGTCCAGGATTTGCTTTCCAAGCCAAGGAAAGAAGACGAACGGACATTCCTGGTATTCACATTCTTTTGGACACGGGAAGAAATCAACATGCGTAGGAACCTATGGTCTATGGTCTTTTAGCCAAGGGGAAACAAATTTTGGATCTTGGAAATTGCTTGGGTTGTTTTGGATGCGATTTGACCAGGAAATTGAACAAATAAGTCAAATTCAAGCCACAGCTGGTTAAGCCATAGGACCATAGGAATTGGGCCTCAGAGGGCTCAGAGGCTCAGAGTAGCAGTTGCTCAAAAAGGGGAAGACGGAAAAACAACCATTCCCATTGACGCAGTTTGTGAGAAGGTTTTGTGTATTTTGTTTGAGCCACGCGCTGCGGTGTAGGACATGCTCGACCCGGTGTATCGATCGGGGGTCACGTGTTCGGTGTTCGCTGATCGCGGCTGCCAGGTTCGTGACCTTGGACTCGGTCGCTCAAATCTACTACCCACTCATTGTGCAGCTTGGAATCGCACGTGGCTTTTGGGTTTGTAGAAGAGCAGATCAATTGAAGCATGAGAGCTGCAATCTAGCTTCTTGTTCCCAGCAGTAAGGCCAGGAGCCCCTAGTAGCGTCCTTGCTCCTAGTAGCGATGCCAGGAGCCCCTAGTAGCGTCCTTGCTCCTAGTAGTAAGGCCAGGAGCCCCTAGTAGCGTCCTTGCTCCTAACGTTTTTGATGGTTTTGACTCTTGACAAATGAGATCAATTGAGTTCTTTCACAGACTGAAGAGATAACTTAGTATGCCTTTTGCAGCAAGTGAGACCATTTTTGTGGTGTCCGAAGAAGGCGTCTCAGATGTGAAAATGACCACGGACTTTCTGGAACTCGCGAGTTTAGAGACGACTTGTACTCGTTCACCGTTCTTGGTCTCAGCGGTGGTTTCATTGTGTCACACACCTTTGGAACACCTGCCGGTTCGCAGTGCTAAGCCTCAAGCTGTGCCAACGACGTACGCGAACGCCGTGCGATCCAATCTCCCGAGAATGCCGGTGAGCCGTCCACGATCCATGGAGGATTGGCTTTATGTGGCATGGCTTCAAGGAGGAAACCGTCCAAACGCTTAGTTATGGATTCGGTGTCCACTATACTACGTTTGCGACGTTCCATCTTCCACCTACGCTACCGTACAACGTATGATGTTCAACGAGCATTCTAACTCAACAACTTGATCAGCAAATTGCAATTCTTTGTGTTTGCTTTGGCTTGAGTCCAAGGTCCTGCCTGATTGTGTAACATCTGAATCGTGGGCAGTGACTATCTCACAACCAAAAGCTTCCTGTCCAAAGCTGGACTGAAGGATTTCGTTTCAAACGGTCCGAGAAGACACGGTCAGGAGATTTTAAGCAGATATATTGCTGATTCTTGCATACGAGCTTGTACCGGTGGTCTATAGGCTACTAAGAAGACCGCTGGGTGCGTGTAGTAGCAAGCAGCAATAGATGTAGGTCAACTAAGTAGTTGCGTTTAGTAGTAAGCTTCAAGAGTGGTAGCAAGGAAGCCGTTACCTTCTATGAAGCTCTCAGGTTCTCGGGACGCTGGGATTTAGACACTTCTGTGTTCTATTCCTTTTAGAACAGTTCTTGCAGTCTTAGCCGAATTAGATCGAATTAGGGCGCATCTAAGGCTCAGCTTTTGCACCGACCATGTCCTTGGGGTGGTCATCTCGTGAAGTTTGAGACTTGACCCAAGCCCAGGGCCCAAGGTGCAAAGAGAGCCAAAGGGAACCGAAGGGACCGGGGCTCTCACAGCAGTTCCGGCTTTGGGAAACTTGATGCTGTTTCGTTTCCTACTACCATACCTTTGAATTCATTGGTAAATCATGGAGAGAGTCGCGGAGAATGTACTAGGCTAGGTGTGCACTTCTGTTTGGAGGCCATCAACAAATTACTATGACGCCTTTGCTGGGCCGAAAATACTGCCGTTCAAGTAGCATGCTTCTATATGCTTGGCCTTTTCTCGATGCAACCAGGTGCGCTTTTGGTGCAAGGTGTCGGTTCTCTAATTTTCTATTCAGTCCTGAAACATCCTGAAACCCTATTGCCCCTATTGCTGATAGAGCTCGTGCCATGTTCAACTTGATATAAGCTCTTTGGCGTCACTTTCAAACTTATGTAATGTCATGTTCTCTTGGTACGTAGGGACTTCACCCAATAATGTTTCTGCTGGGAAGGAAGGACGTGGCTCGCACAACACTCTTTTTTTCTAAGTTGTAAGCAATCCGGGACATTCAGAATGTTGATGCGGCAAGCAAGCAAATTAGAGCGGTACTGTTTGAATGTCTCTGGAAAGTGCTATCGTCATCTTATTTCACTTTGCACCCGTGTCACGCTATTGTTCTATCTGAACTTTTGTTACAGTACACTTTTTTGTAAACGCTTCTGCGCTCTTGCGCATTTGTTCTATCTTGAAATTATGTGGTTTGTTAATAATTGCTTTTGGTTTGTTGCCTGCTTGCTTGGTGTTTTGTTGCCTCCAACTTTCGTCATTCTGTTGCTTGTTTCTCGACAAATATCCCTTTGTTGTTTGCCCTGCTTAGTTGAGGGAGGTTATTTTCTTGTCCCATTTTGTCGCCCCTTGGCAATGTTGACACTGTGGTTCCTCCATTCTCGTTTCTGTAGCGTTTCTACTTCTTGCTTTTGCAAAACACTAATAAAATCAAGTCAAGCCAACTGACCCTAAAAACCTTGCTGCCATACAGATACTGTATCAGCAAATACATTCAGCTTGTTTTGAAATGTGGTGTTGTTCTTGGCTCAAAATTGTGCAATCACACCCAACATCAGCATCACCCCACCGCCCCAACCCCCGCATCGATGAAGCAACCTCTTTAACCTCTTTGCCGCAGCAATCGGAGTTTCGCCAACATTGCGTTTGCCACCCGTCTGTGTTGAAGCAAGTTCATACATATAAGCCATTTCGTGGAACATCCAATTTGTGCAAAGCACAAAAGCCGGTGTATTTCGTATCTTTCATGGAAAGTGTGTGTGTGTGCTTTTCCTCACCCACCCAGCAATACAGACACTGATCCACCATGATTTCTTCGGCGATCTGGTCGAACTTGAGACAGTCGAGGATTTCCACCTCCTCGGCTTCAACATAGATCTGCCCACTCGCACAATTACATACATCCAACCAACACAGTCCTGGAAAATCCGGGACCCCACATCAGCAGGCAGCACACGATTGAAACTTTTCTCAGGGACTTGCGTCCCGTCTCCATACCATTTACAAGTACACCTACCCACAAACGGCTGCGGACGCTGTAGCGGACCACCTTGTCAACCTGTACATCCACAAAGGACATGCAGCAATCGACTGCAAACGGTTTTAGAAGAGCAGAAAAGATTTCAATTTGCTGCGTGCGAGCGCCGCTAAGCGGCCGCGTGTGTGTGTGTGTGTGTGTAACCCTTGGAATCACAGGGATCCTTTCGGATTGTTCTCGCTTTTGGTATTTTGAGCTTTTTAGCAGGGGGACACGGCACCAGATTGCAGACCGTGTCTAACAAAGCTATGCAATCTGGTGGGATATCCAGCTTGGCCAGCTGGACGTACCTGCAATTTTCCTTTTCCGAATGGCAAGAGGCTAAGCCAAGAACCTCGATGCTTCAATGTTTTGATGTTTTCTTTGCACTGCAGATGCGAGCGGATCGTCGTCAGCCTGTTCGTCCGTCGTTCGTTTTCTTCCTTTTGGGCCCTACTTCCTCTTGAAGACCTCCAGGATCCAGTGGTTCGTACGTGTACCCTTAGGAAATGGAACCCTAGGCCGGCGTGTGGCACCGCTTTCAGTTCAGTATGCATATCCATAAGTGTGTTTGGCCTCGCGCCAACCCGGGATGAGCCCGCAGAGTGCCTCCCGTGGACCCGTTGAACGGGGGTTTGTCGAACGTATCCACTGCCCGGATACAGAGCAGCTCGCAGCGAGCGTAGGTGGCCTAGGCCGTACGTACGATGATTTTTGTCTCATCTTTGGAATTCCAAGTTGGCTTATGCCCTTACGTGACCGCAGCGGTCAGAGGTGGCAGCCTTCGGGCAAGCCGTACGTGGTCGCAGCGACCAAAGTTTGTTCAAGGCTCATTGGAGTCTGTCGAGCACTTAGCCCCCCCTTCTCCCCCTTCCCTCCCCCGTTCTTTCTTTGCTTTCTGGGGTTTTCCTGAAATACTCAGGATCACCCCTCTCTTTCTTGGGTGTGTCCCTGGACGATTGTTCGTAGCTGGGAACACCTTCCTTTCCTTTCCCTTTCTCTCCCTCTCTCTTTCTTTCCTTCTCTCTTTCCTCTCTTCACCCTTTTCCTTGGGTGTCCCTGGATGCTTCGTCATAGCTGGGAGCCCTTCCTTTTGGTGTGTCCCTGGACGCATGTGTCGTAGCTGGGAGCACCTTTGTTTCCTTCTTTCTTTCCCTCTCTTTTCTTCCTCCCCCTGCCCCCTCTTCCCTCGCGCGCAGCGTGTTTACAAGCAAACTAGGCTTCTGCAACAGGTTGTTTCTAATGAGGTTTGGTTTGTCATCGGTTTGTCCCCGTTCATTTGGTTCCCCTTTCATCGGCCTCCACAGACGTTTTTTTTCCTCTTTTCTTTCATGTCTTTCTGTCTTCATGTCTCTTCATCCTCATCCTTTCTTTCTCTTGCGCGCACTATCGTCCGGACCTTAGTTTGTACACATACACGCACGCGTACTCTACTTACAGCGAGGTTCAGGTGGCCCAGGTTCGTTACAATGAGGTTTGGCTCATCGGTTGTCCCTCTTCACTTGCTTGGTTCCTTTTCATCGGCAACCACACACACCTTTGTCTGTCTTGTCCTTCTCATTTTCATCTGTCCCTTTTGCGTGCACATGTGCCTACCTCCTTTCCGGGCAGGATGGAGGTCACACATGCCTCCCTTCGGGGAGGCGTGTGTGTGTAACCCTTGGAATCACAGGGATCCTTTTGGATTGTTCTCGCTTTTGGTATTTTGAGCTTTTTAGCAGGGGGACACGGTGCCCGATTGCAGACCGTGTCTAACAAAGCTATGCAATCTGGTGGGATATCCAGCTTGGCCAGCTGGACGTACCTGCAATTTTCCTTTTCCGAATGGCAAGAGGCTAAGCCAAGAACCTCGATGCTTCAATGTTTTGATGTTTTCTTTGCGCTGCAGATGCGAGCGGATCGTCGTCAGCCTGTTCGTCCGTCGTTCGTTTTCTTCCTTTTGGGCCCTACTTCCTCTTGAAGACCTCCAGGATCCAGTGGTTCGCGCGTGTACCCTTAGGAAATGGAACCCCAGGCCGGCGTGTGGCACCGCTTTCAGTTCAGTATGCATATCCATAAGTGTGTGTGTGTGTGTGTCAACCCCTGTTTCGAAGGGAACTTTTCTATCTATCTACTTTCTTTCGTGACGCTTACTTTACCTTTGTACAGAACAGTGGCAGGGGGGGCAGAGAGGACTTGCAAGGCTCTGCCCAACGAAGCTCCTTGCAAGATCCCACGA